TTTTTTGAGACAGAGTCTTGCTCTGTTGCCCAGGCTGGAGTGCAATGGCATGATCTTGGCACAGTGTAACCTCCACCTTCCAGGTTCAAGCAATTCTCCTGCCTCAGCCTCCTAAGTAGCTGAGATTATAGGCACCAGCACCAGCCACCACACCAGGCTAATTTTTGTATTTTTAGTAGAGACAGGATTTCACCATGTTGGCCTGGCTGGTCTTGAACCCCTGACCTTGTGATGTGCCCACCTTGGCCTCCCAAAGTGCTGGGATTACAGGTGTGAGCCACCACACCTAACATGAACTCATTCTTAAAAGATAAATAGAGGTTGCTGGGTGCACTGGCTCACGCCTGTAATCCAGCACTTTGGGAAGTTGAGTGAGCGGATCACTTGAGGTCAGGAGTTTGAGATCAGCCTGGCCAACATGGTGAAACTCCGTTTCTACTAAAAATACAAAAATTAGCCAGGTGTCGTGGTGGGAGGCTGTAATCCCAGCTACTCAGGAGGCTGAGGCAGGAGAATCACTTGAACCTGGAAAGTGGAGGTTGCAGTGAGCCAAGATCATGCCACCATTTACCAGTCAGAGATAATGGTGAAGGCAGTTATTGTGGAATGGGGAGAGGTGGTGATGTCCAGATCAGAGGAGCCTTGACTGCTGCTGAGCAGGTTGGTTTTCATTCGGAGGGCTGCGGCGAGTTTATCGAGTGAGTTTCAGCTGCCCAACATGGAAAATGGAACGGAGAGGACAAAAGGCCAGGGTGCAGCTGGGCAGCTGGGACAGTGGTCCCGGTGAGCTGGGGTGAGCTGGGGTCTCTCCCTCCAAACAGCAGCATTCTTCCACCTCAGTGGCAAACTGTGGAGCCGATACTTTGATCCTGAAGGGGCTCGGGGGGCCAAACTCTTTCTTCCACCATCTGTGCTGTCCGGGGAACAGGCCTCTCAAGAGGGTTGTTTCCTGCTCTGTTGATTAGAAGTGGCTGTGGTGACCAGGATTGGCAGTGTCCACACCTAAGAGCTGCAGTGAGTTGGGAACCGGGTTATCCGCCAAGGTCAGAGGCAGGGACCAGGCTTCAGGCCGCACGGGACTTGGAGCTGGCTTCCAGGAGGGGGCTGGAGCCCCACCCCTGCCTGGACTCAAGTGATCTGCCTGAGCTGGCCTCCCAAAGTTCTGGGATTACAGGAGTAAGCCACCTCACCTGGCCTAAAGTTGTGTATTTTTCTTCCTGACAATAAAAGGAAGTGCTGGCTCTCGTATCTTGTACACTGTGAATAACTTTGCTGTGACACCTTATTTCTTTTTTAAAAATTTTTAAATTAAATTAAATTTTATTATTATTATTATTTTTTACAGAGATGGGGTTTCACCATGTTGGCCAGGATGGTCTCGATCTCCTGACCTCGTGATCCACCCGCCTTGGCCTCCCAAAGTGCTGGAATTATAGGTGTGAGCCACCACACCCGGCCTCTTTTTATTTTATTTTTAAGACAGAGTTTTGCTCCTGTCACCCAGGCTGGAGTGCAATTGCGCCATCTCAGCTCACTGCAACCTCTGCCTCCTGGGTTCAAGCGACTCTCCTGCCTCAGCCTCCTGAGTAGCTGGGACTACAGGCGCATGCCACCACGCCCAGCTAATTTTTGTATTTTCAGTACAGACAGGGTTTCACCATATTGGCCAGGCTGGTCTCAAACTCCTGACCTCAGGTGATCCACCCACTTTGGCCTCCCAAAATGCTGGGATTCCAGGTGTGAGCCACTGTGCCCAGCTAATGCCACCTTATTTCTTTGCCCCTCTCACTTTCTCACTAAATGTGGAGTCTCTGGCAGAGGCATGTCACTCACACTGCTGGACACAGGCCCACGGAGCTCATGGGGAACAGAAAAGGATGGCTGATCTCTTCTTAACGCTGTGGTATTAGTTTTGTGTTGTGTTTCTTCAGGTGAGATGGGTAATGTGCTGGCGTGACAAAGTTCGAGGCTGGCACACTTCACACTGCATGTGAGCACCCCCTCATCATGCTCACAAACTACAAACAACTGAGATTGCTTTAAATTCCTTATTACTCCAGTTACCCAGGCCAAAAGCCCTGGAGTCATCCTTGAGTCCTGTCTCTCCCAGGCCCCCTCCACATCCTTAGCAAGTCCCTAGCTGTGCCCTCAGTTGACATCCCGGGAATCTGATCACCATCACGAACACCCTCATCTCTCGCTTCCATCTCCCTGCTCCCTGTGACCTGGCAACAGACTGCTCCCAGCTCAGCAGCTGGAGCTAAAACACAGGCCTGATTATGTCCTCTTGTAACTGGAAATGTTTCCATATCAAAGTGTCACTCATAGGTCCCTGAGTCATTCAGAAGCCAGCAGCAGACCCCCACTTCCTTCAGGGGTGAAGCCAAAGTCCTTACAATGGCTTCCATGATCCTCTCAGGTGGGCCCTGGTTTCTTCTCTGATCTTGTCCCTTCTCAGTCCTCTCCAGCCTCCCTCGCTCCTTGCTCTTCCTCACCTGGACCAGACACTCTTGAACCACAGGGCCTTTGCACTGATTGTCTGCGTCCTTCTCCCAGGACCCACAGCCCACGTCCATCCATGACTCTCACCTCCTCTGGCCACCACTCACATTGCTTCTTTGCAAGGAGGCCTATTTTGTTTTAATCTTTTTTTTTTTTTTTTTTTTTTTTTTTTTTTTTTTTTTTTTTTTTTTTTTTTTTTTTTTTTTTTTTTTTTTTTTGGTAGAGACATGGTTTCATTATGTTGCCTGGATTGGCCTCAAACTCCTGGGCTCAAGTGATCCTCTGGCTTCGGCCTCCCAAAGTGTTAGGATTATAGGCGTGAGCTACCATATGGGCCTGAAAGTCCTGTTTTAAATGAAAACCCCCTTCCTCACATTCAAGATCCCATTTTTTTTTTTTTTTTTTGAGACAGAGTCTCAGTCTGTCACCTAGGCTGGAGTGCAGTGACCCAGTTGGCTCACTACAACTGTCACCTCCCAGGTTCAAGCGATTCTCCTGCCTCAGCCTCCCGAGTAGCTAGGATTACAGGAACCTGCCATCATACCCAGCTAATTTTTGTATTTTTGTGGAGACAGGGTTTCACTATGTTGGCCAGACTGGTCTTGAACTCCTCACCCCAGGTGATCCGCCCACCTTGGGCTCCCAATGCGCTGGGATTATAGGTGTGAGCCACTGCGCCTGGCCAATTCAGATCCCTTTATTTTGCTGATTTCTTTCCATGGCCCTTTGCCTTATAATGTACAATTCAATGTACTTATTGATTATGTTTATCAATTATTATACTGATTGGTGCGTTTACACTGTCTGAACCTCAGTAACTATTTGTTACCTTGCTGAATAGTGCCAGAGAAGGCTCTGTGAGAGGCTCTGTCTCCTCCGGGGCAAGCCTGGGCAAACAGTCCTCAGAACTGCTCCTCACAGGTTCTTCTTCTTCTAGAGCAGGGCTATTTCTGGCCACATGCACACCATCTGTCTGGAGCAGGAGTGGGGTCTGTTCGCAAGTAGGAGCTCTACAGAGCAGCAGCGCTTGGGAAATGGATACACTCTGGATTCGGGCGGAGTCTCCCATCTGTGTGCTGTGGATAGGCTGCTTCATCTCGCTGCGCCTTCAACTGCAGATGAACAATAACTGCCCTGTGTCATTGAGAGAAGTGAATAAAATTAAAAGTGATAATGCATGTTAAGCAATCAGTACAGTATTCAGAAGATAACCAGGATCAGTGAGATAAAAACGCTTTTGCAAAAGACAGCTACTTAAAACTCGAAATATATTTTCCCAGAAAGTCAGTGGAAAATACCTATTCCCTGGAGATCATGAGAAAAGTTTGGTAACTGAACAGAGAATGTATCCAGCTGAAGGCTGGTGTCAGCTCAGTGACTGTTTTTGAGGCCCTAGCCAGGGCCGGCCTGTTCCTGTGATGGGTGGGGCTGCTTTAAGCACAGCCTTGCTTTTTACCTTTGGCTCTGGACATGTGAATAGAATTGGAAGTCAGAGCGCAAAGGACAGAGCCGGCGCAGTTTAAACGCCATCCTTCCAGGTGGGCAAGCAGAAGCCTGGGGAGGAGGAAGCAGCTCCCCCGGGTCACAGGACAGAGGGCTGGCGGCGTGAGGACTGTGCAGGGTGGCAGGTGAAGGTCTCCCAGAGCAACCACTCCCAGAGGAGTGCGGAGCTGGCCCAAGTGCCAGCAGCCAGTGAGGAGAGAGGAGCTCCACAGGGTGGGCTTGTCCTCCAAATCCTTGCTCTTTTTTTTGAGACGGACTGTCGACCTGTCACTGCTAGAGTGCAGTGGTGCAATCTTGGCTCACTGCAAACTCTGCCTTCTGGGTTCAATCGATTCTCCCTCCTCAGCCTCCTGAGTAGCTGGGATTACAGCTGCCTGCCACCATGCCTGGCTAATTTTTGTATTTTAGTAGAGACGGGATTTCACCATGTTGGCCAGGTTGGTCTTGAACTACTGACCAACAAATGATCTGCCGACCTCAGTCTCCCAAAGTGCTGGGAGCCCTGTGCTCCAAGCCCTGTGCTCTTTTTGATGCTTGTCTGACTGTGTCAACACCCGTGTGCAATGTGGAATAAAAATATCATCTCTTTTGCACTAAAAATGTCCCAGCGTCTTCTATATAATGAAAACTGTGTCCTACCTGTAGCCTCCAAACAAGCCCCTGCCCGGCCTCTGTTCCTTCAGGCCGTGTTTCAGGTCAGTTTCTCCCTATTCATCCCAGAAGGGAAGCAGAGCTTTTCCCTGCTTCTGCCTGGAAGAAAAGGCCCTGAGCCACCACGAGGCTGGGGCGCCCCTGGCGGCCATCAATGACACACATTCCTAGGCCAGCCCGGGAGCTCTGGCTGGGTGAGGCTCCCAGAACTTCCAGACAGGAGGACTGAGGGCAGCCCAGTCATCTGCCCCACTGTGGAGGGGGTGAGAGGAGCTAAGGGATTCAACAGATGCCATGTGGGAAAGCGCGCTCTTGGATTAGAGTCCTCCATGTAGTTGAGAAGCTTAAAGCTTAAAAATGCATTCATTGGCCAGGCACAGTGGCGCGTGCCTGTAATCCCAGCACTTTGGGAGGCTGAGGTGGGCACAGATCACCTGAAGTCATGAGTTCAAGATCAGCTTGGCTAACATGGTGAAACCCCATCTCTACTAAAAATACAAAATTTAGCCAGGCATGGTGGCATGCACCTGTAGTCACTGCTACTAGGGAGGCTGAGGCAGGAGAATTGCTTGAGCTGAGGAGGTGGAAGTTGTAGTGAGCCGAGACCTTGCCACTGCACTCCAGCCTGGGCAACAGAATGAGACTCTGTCTCCAAAAAGAAAAAAACATGTGTTTCCACATGAGGTAGTGGAGACATGAGCACAGGGAAGTGTGGCCTAGCCACACTACCCCAGAACAGGAAGGGCTGGGCAGCACTGAGGACCCCATGGTGAGCGTGACGTGGGTGTGATCGTGTTCAGTGACCCAGCAGAGAAAAGCCCAAAGGTGTGTGTCATGATGGCAGACTGGCCAGATGATTCAAGTAGGGCTGACTCCCTGGCCTCGCCCCTCAGAGATGAAATCTTGAGTTGATCTCACAATTTAAATATGATGAAGCTAACAGACCAGGCCATGGTGTCACAATGAGATGACAGTGGATGATTAAGGCGAGCAGAGTGACCGTAAGAAGACACCAGTCCAGGGAAAAATGGGTTGGAAGATGTACAGTCTAGGTTGAAGATGTGTGCTGAGATCATCTTCCCTACCTAACAAGGGGGTGAATGTCCCAGGTGCCCCAGCTCAGGTCATCTTGAGAGAGGAAACCTGCTTCCATGTCCTGATTCTGGTTCAACTGATGTTAAGAAAATAACCATTTTTTATTTTTTGAGACACGATGACATTTCCCCAGGCTGGAGTGCAGTCAGTGCTCACTGCAGCCTGGGCCTCCTAGGGATAAGCCCAGCTGGGCTTGAGTGATCCTCCTGCTTCAGCCTCCTGAGTCCTGAGTAGCTGGGACTACAGGCATGTACTACAATGCCTGGCTAATTTTTAATTTTTATTATTTTTTTAAGCGATGAGGTCTTGTTTTGTTGCCCAGGCTGGTCTCAAACTCCTGGCCTTAAGGGATTCTCCCACCTTCACCTCCCCAAAGTGCTGGGATTACAGGTGTGAGCCACCATGCCCGGCTCAACTGACGTTAGTTCAGAATATGTACCTGGCCTACTCTGAGAAAAGAATTTTTCTTTTCTTTTTCTTTTTTTTTTTTGAGGTGGCGTCTTGTTCTGTCACTCAGGCTAGAGTGCAGTGGTGCAACCTCCGCCTCCCAGGTTCAGGCAATTCTCCTGCCTAGCCTCCCAAGTCGCTGGGATTACAGGTGCCCATCACCACGCCCAGCTAATTTTTGTATTTTCAGTAGAGACAGGGTTTCACCATCTTGGCCAGGTTGGTCTTGATCTCCTGACCTTGTGATCCACCCACCTCGGCTCCCAAAGTGCTGGGATATAGGTGTAAGCCACCGTGCCCGGCCAGTTATAATAATTTGTAAATATAGCTTAAATCACTTATGAAAACTGATAGAAATTTGCAATAATTTAAAAATATTTAAGACCACACACACACACACACACACACACAGACATTTTTGAGATTAGGGTCTCACTATGTTGCCCTGGCTGGTCTCAAACTCCTGACCTTAAGTGATGCTCCTGCCTCAGCTGCCAGAGCTGCTGGGACTAAGGTGTGAGCCACTGCACACTCAGCATAACAGAATGATTTTTGGCCGGGCGCAGTGGCTCACGCCTGTAATCCCAGCACTTTGGGAGGCCGAGGCGGGTGGATCACGAGGTCAAGAGATCGAGACCATCCTGGTCAACATGGTGAAACCCCGTCTCTACTAAAA